CACGTCTGACAGTAACTTTTTCTGGTGAAATTTTTTTGCAAACCAATTTCAGATTCGTGCTCAGCGCATAGAATAACCATTAAAAGCAGACTTTGGAGCAGTTTCACCACGTAGTTATTGAGATCCAAAATGCCGGTGAAAAGTCAAGTTTTCCATAACTTTTTTCGGTGAAATTTTTTTGCAAACCGACTTGAAATTCGTGCTCAGCGCATCGAATAACCCTTAAAAGCAGACTTTGGAGCAGTTTCACCACGTAGTTATTGAGATCCAAAATGCCGGTGAAAATGCAAGTTTTCCATAACTTTTTTCGGTGAAATTTTTTTGCAAACCGACTCGAAATTCGGTGCTCAGCGCATCGAATAACCCTTAAAAGCAGACTTTGGAGCAGTTTCACCACGTAGTTATTGAGATCCAAAATGCCGGTGAAAAGTCAAGTTTTCCATAACTGTTTTCGGTGAAATTTTTTTGCAAACCGACTTGAAATTCGTGCTCAGCGCATCGAATAACCCTTAAAAGCAGACTTTGGAGCAGTTTCACCACGTAGTTATTGAGATCCAAAAATGCCGGTGAAAATGCAAGTTTTCCATAACTTTTTTCGGTGAAATGTTTTTTGCAAACCGACTTGAAATTCGTGCTCAGCGCATTGAATAACCCTTAAAAGCAGACCTCGGAGCAGTTTTACCACGTAGTTATTGAGTTCTAACAACATGGCGAAAATGTGACACGTCTGACAATAACTTTTTCTGGTGAAATTTTTTTTGCAAACCCATTTCAGATTCGTGCTCAGCGCATCGAATAACCCTTAAAAGCAGACTTTGGAGCAGTTTCACCACGTTGTTATTGAGATCCAAAAATGCCGGTGAAAAGTCAAGTTTTCCGTAACTTTTTTCGGTGAAATTTTTTTTGCAAACCGACTTGAAATTCGTGCTCAGCGCAGTGAATAACCCTTAAAAGCAGACCTTGGAGCAGTTTTACCACGTAGTTATTGAGTTCTGACAACATGGCGAAAATGTGACACGTCTGACAGTAACTTTTTCTGGTGAAATTTTTTTTGCAAACCCATTTCAGATTCGTGCTCAGCGCATCGAATAACCCTTAAAAGCAGACTATGGAGCTGTTTCAATACGTAGTTATTGAGATCCAAGAATGCCGGTGAAAATGCAAGTTTTCCATAACTTTTTACGTTGAAATTTTTTTTGCAAACCGACTTGAAATTTGTGCTCAGCGCATCAAATAACCCTTAGAAGCAGACTTTGGAGCAGTTTCACCACGTAGCTATCGAGTTCTGACAACATGGCGAAAATGTGACACGTCTGACAGTAACTTTTTCTGGTGAAATTTTTTTTGCAAACCGATTTCAGATTCGTGCTCAGCGCATCGAATAACCCTTAAAAGCAGACCTTTGGAGCAGTTTTACCACGTAGTTACTGAGTTCTGACAACATGGCGAAAATGTGACACGTCTGACAGTAACTTTTTCTGGTGAAATTTTTTTTGCCAACCAATTTTAGATAATTCTGATTAATAAACGTAAAATAATACAAATTTTATTATGGCATATTCTGCAGTTTTCTGTGAAAATCTGTAAAAAGCGAAACTGGGGATAATAATTATTATAGTAATGCCCATAAATCAAGGTTTCAGTTTTTTTGCAAACTGAATATGACATCGATTATTAGAGCGAGTTGCGAGCGAGTTATATTGATGTAAGCGAGTTATATTGATATAATCTTCTCCTTGGCGTTTAATTTCCCTACGCCGACCAAATCGGGGTAGGAACCCTCTTGGTCTGAAGGGTGGCTTGGAGGATGTAAACGTGCTCGGGGGCTGCGCCGCAGAAGGGGACCCGTTTGCACGCTTCGGGTTTCGCTGCTTGCAGCGGCCCGGTCCTTCAAGTATCCAGCTCGTTCCAGGACTAATCAGGTTAGTCGCTCTACGTTTGGCCGGTTTTCACGATGACTAACGACAGAGTCCCCTGCCCGTATTGCAAGCAACTGTATTGCAGAGGAGGAGGCCTAACCAGACACAAGAAAAAGTGTCCACTACGGCCAGCTGACTCCGTGCCTTCTACTGCTCCTCCTGACACCGCTTACAACTCTGCAGGAGCGGCGCCAACGCCACCACCGACGGAAAGTTTCAAACCGTCGAAGGAGCGGGTGATGCGTCGCATTCCACACGGAGCACGTACCACGGCAAGGGATTCGCTCAGGACGGCGCTACAGCAGGTCGCCATTAAGAACGATAAGTCTTCTTGGGACAAACTGTTCTCCTTCGCCCCTGCCGCTCTCCGTGCCCCGCCGAAAGCCAAAACAGACCGGACAGAATCTTTGGCGACATTTGTGAAGAGAAACGTGGGCAGCTACGATAACGGAACTCAACTACCCCCGACACCGCCCCCGCCTGCCCCCAAGAAGAGATCTGATGAGGAAGATCTTGTTCGCCGAGTCGGGCAGAAAATCGACGACGGCAGCATTTCTGGAGCTATGCGGCTGATTCTATCAACCGACGCCGTAGTAGCTCCCTCTCCCGATGTGCTACAGGAGCTACGGGAGAAGCATCCAGAATGCCCACCGCCCCCGAACACGGCTCAGCCCGCCCCGCCTGTAGACGCAGCGCCACCCATAACAGCAGCTGAAGTGTTCTCCGCGGTTCACACTTTCCCCCGTGGTTCAGCAGCTGGTCCGGATGGCCTGCGTCCGCAGCATCTCCTGGACATGGTTGGCCACAAGTACAATGAACATTGCCGCCCTCTTTGTGAAGCGCTCGCCGCTGTGTTAAATTTAGCTGTCAATGGAAGTATCCCAGCCGAAGTCAGGCCTTTATTTTTCGGTGGCAAATTACTCGCCCTCAGAAAGAAAGATGGCGGCCTCCGTCCGATAGCGGTAGGACTAACTCTGCGCCGCCTGGTAGCCAAGATCATATGCCATCGAGTGGCCGACCGCATTACTCCAGTTTTATCTCCACAGCAGCTTGGGTTTAACGTGCGGGGCGGTGCCGAGGCTATTGTGCATGCCACCAGAGTCTTTGTAGAATCATCTTCACTGGAGCCGACGGCGGTCTTAAAGATTGATTTTAAAAACGCCTTTAACACCGTCTCCAGAGAAGCTATTCTCGCCGCCGCGGAACGCCACTTACCTGAATACAGCGCGTTTTTCCGATCCGCATACGGTGACCACTCATCACTCTTCATCGAGCAGCTGATGATGTCATCCGAGTCCGGAGTGCAGCAGGGAGATCCTCTGGGCCCGCTACTGTTCTGCCTTGCACTCCAGCCAGTTGTGGACTCCTTAAACGTTGACCTGAACGCATGGTTCTTAGATGACGGTACCATGGGCGGTAAGCCTGCGGCTGTAGCAAATGCCTTTGACCAGATTATAACGAGAGCCCGGGCGATCGGACTAGTGGTAAACGAAGGAAAGTGTGAGCTTTACGTTTCTGGTGGAACGGAAGAAACACGGTGTGAAGTGGTCGCAGAATTCCGGCTGAAGTACCCAAAATTGCGCATACTATTAAACGCCGATTTTATGCTGTTAGGAGCACCGGTTCTCGACGAAGCCATTGGCCCAGCAGTAGTTGAGAAATGCTCCACCCTAAAGACAGCATGCGAGCGTTTGGGGCTTTTACCACGTCATCATGCCCTATTTCTCCTGAAGAATTGCCTAGGAGCACCTAAAATTGTTTATATGCTCCGTTGCTGCAACGCCTGGAGACAACCGCAACAACTGTACCAACTGGATGAAGTTATGCGCAGCTGTTTTCAATCTCTCTGCAATGTGCGCACTAACCACGATGACTACCCGTGCTGGCGGCAGGCGACACTACCGGTGAGCAGAGGTGGCATTGGCATACGACGAGCGGAAGAATTAGCACTCCCAGCCTTTTTGGCATCGATTCACTCCGCGTCCGATTTAATGTCAAAGCTGCTTCCTGATCACCCATCCGTGGACGCTTCTGCCCCCATGGAATTGTGGAAAGCCAGCGCACGCCTTACCGATCTCCCCGAGTCCCAATTTCGGAAATCGCAACGAACCTGGGACCTACCGCTGTGTAACGCGTCATTATCCACACTTCTTGATGTTTTCCGCCACGACGAAGTAAACAAAGCCCGACTCCTGGCTCAGTCTACACCTGAAGCAGGCTTATGGCTAAATGCCCTTCCCTCGGCACACATCGGCAATCTTCTCGATGATGACACCGTAAAGATATCTGTCGGACTGAGATTGGGCGCAACAATTTGTGAACCCCACATCTGTGCTAAATGCAACAAGCCGGTCGACGTGTACGGTCACCACGGGTTGTCCTGCTCCTTTTCTGCTGGGAGGCATGCACGTCATGGTGGCTTAAACAATATCGTTTGTAGAGCGCTAGTGTCAGCCGGCATCCCTGCAAAAGTGGAACCTCGGGGAACGTCCCACACGTCCGATCGACGTCCCGATGGTTGCACCACTTTTGCCTGGAAACGCGGGATGTGTCTGGCATGGGACGTTACGTGTGTGGACACGGTTGCTGTGTCACACCTAAGATCAACATCAACGACCGCGGGATCTGCGGCTGCACAAGCTGAAGAGAAGAAAGTGCGATTCTACGCGTATTTAGATGGTAGATACATCTTCGCACCGCTGGCTTTCGAAACACTTGGACCATGGGGAAAGTCAGCTACCCTTTTAGTGAAAGAAATCGGCAAGCGGCTCCAACAGCACACCGGAGAGCCTCGCTCCCACGAGTTTCTTCGGCAACGCCTGTCGTTGGAAATTCAGCGTGGCAACGCCGCTTCCGTACTCGGAACAATGGAAGCAGCGGCAGCATTAAATGAAATTTTGTTTTTATGATTAACTATTTCTGAAACTGTGATGGTACCGCTTTTAATACGAGTACAAATAAAAGCTGCGGAAACACAAAACGTCGCACCGTAATCGCTGACTTTTAATATTATTGAAAGTCTGGAGCACAGAAAATCAACCACTGATCGGCGCAGCTCGATCGTCAATCGCAGAGTCAATTCTACAGTGTGCATCACTGTGCAGCACGTGCTATGCCGCGCCCACTACACAACTCAAGCCAATCAGAGCGAGACACAACACAGACCGTAATCCATCGGCGTAGCGCCTAGCGCCACAGGCGTGAACGCTAGTGAGCCCTCGTCTCACATGCCTCTGGGGGGATGCCGAGCTCCGTTGAGGCTGGACACACTCCCAAATCCACGAAAAACGACGGTCGCCGGTGTCTATGCGTGCTCGAAAACATCAAATTCTCTTATTCCATTTATCACATCAATTCCATAAGGCACAATTCCATTTAATACGATGTGAATAAAGAGATCCATTTATAAAAATACTATTCCATAGCAATTCTAATACAAAACAGATCAACAGTTAAAAAGATCAACAAAAGTATTAATCAAATGTAGACTAGGATCCTCCATTTCTGACTCGTAAAGGTCACAGGTCCTGTCCACCGTTTTCCGCACTTTGGCCCATTCCGCTCTGTTGAGCAAGTCCGCGCATCCGTAATGCGACTTGTAATCACAATCCGCTTGAGAGTCAGGTGCGTATCAAGTACGACTTAGGAATACTGCTTCATCTTTGGGATATGGTGCGTATCAATTGTACGACTTCAAAGTGAGATCCAATAAAGGTCATGGAGGGACGTCATGTAGACAAGCGTAGTTCGCTTCCTCCCTGGTAAAGGTCATCCTTTGTTAAGATGATCCGTTGAGATGTGCGACTCATTATGGGTTAATGGTCCCAAAAGGTCATGCGACTTGAACTCCGGTACGGTGACTCGGTTGGACATTAGTAATTCCAAAGGTCATCCGACTTCATTTAAAACTTCCATTAAAGGTCGTGGAGGAACTCAGCCGATTTTTAACGACTTTCAAGCACTTCTTCGCTTGCCTCCCTGGTAAGGCTTTCACTTTGACCTTTCCGTCGCACATCCAACTTCAATATGCCTCGAGCGGCCAGAGTGCCGGCAAAGTTTACCGTAGCATCTCTGATGGGGCCGGCTAACTACCGCATTAAATTTACCCCACGACGCTTCCACATTAAATCTTTAACTCTTGTTCGCCGCTTGTGGCCCAGCTTCGGTACGAGAGATCCGGCTTGGTTACCGCTATTTCTCTCGTTAATTTTCAACACTGAATCGCTCGGAGGGATTGCCGGCATAGTTTACCGTAGCAACTCTAATGAGGCCGGCTGGCTGCCGCATCAAATTTACCTCATTAATATTTCCACCTGTTGTCTTTCTCTTTTTCGCCGCTTGTGGCCCACTTTCGTATTCAAGAGATCCGGCTTAATTACCGTAGTTTCTCTTGCCAATTTATAACACTGAATCGCTTAAGGAGGAGGGCCGGCTAACTGCCGTAGCTACTCCCTTGGGGCCGGCTTTATGGACCGAATCAATTTCAACCCCAATCGCTGCTCCACATGATTTCTTTATCCTTTGCGGTTCTGTGCTATAAATGCTGAAAACAACAAATACACAAATACAGTTTATGGTAATATGTCATGTCGCCCTTATATACCACACCATATTTCATTTTTGTGACGTACCGACATATGCCGTAGACGCCCTTTTAATAGTGTGATCCTAGCGATCAGCACTATCCCATTTCATTTGAATCGTCCTCGCCATCTCTTGGCGGGCGTTTCTTGGCACTTTCTGGTTGATTTCGGTCAGACGTTCGGTCAACTGGTTCCGTGGGACCAACTGCCATGACCTTTTCCGGGTCAACTTCTCGCTGACCGCGACCTTTCCCTTGGCGACTTCTTTTGACCGCCTCTACCCGATGGCGTGCGTCATTCTCTTCCAACCGCAGTCTCCGGTTGTTAGGGTCATCCGCCAATCGCCGTTGCACATCAGCGAGATTATCGCGGAGTTGCTGGTTTCTTAGACCGCGTCGTTCTATCTGGTTAGGAGCGCGTTCTGGGCGTCGGTCGCCTTTGTTCACCAAAAACTCATTAATGTAGACGTCTACTCCGTCCACAGGTTCGACGTAGTCGCTTCCCATAGTATCCTTGATCCGGTTAATCCTTTCTTCAACTTGGAAGGCATGGCGCTGTGTAAGATTACCCTTTTCCCTTCTTGTCTTACACTTCTTCAACGCCTTGCGAGCCGTGTGGGCTATTCCGACATGTTCCATAGGCTCTCCCAGTTTCGCCACATGAGGTCGGAAGAGCGGTGGAATATCATCCTTCATGGTGTTAGAAACCAATTGGTTCTGTGTTTTATAGTGTGCCAATCTCGCAGCGAAGACCTTCTGCCCCATCCTTTTTGCGGCATGGTCTGTGGGATCCACCTGTAATCCGATCGATGCTCTAGCTGCAAGCAACTTGAAGGCCGGATTTACGTGTCGTAAGACGAACTGAGCCGCATATTCCTGTCGTTCATCATAGTCTGTGTAATAAAATTGTGTCATCCCGACTGGGTCAGTCGTGTCCAATGGCACGTCCAATAGGCTCAAATCCAGCAAACTGTGTAATCCATTTCGTCGGATGGGGAGATAACAATCTCGCGCAGAGTCACGAGGAATGTATAGTCGACGAAAAGTTCCTTCTTCCACTCCCCTCTTAATCTCTCTCGCGTACCCAGAATCGAGTAAAAACTGGCGAAGCTGATTCAGAATCGTGTGAATCTTATTCGCCTCCGCCGAATCATCGTCAATTCCCTTGTATCGGCAAATTTCCGTCTTTTGTTCGTCGGTGTCGCGCATATCGTATATCATGTCGATTGTGTCGGGGTGTCGGTTATTGAATCTGGAAGTCGTTCGCCGATCGCGTTCATCCGGCTCGCGCAGACTTTCTTGTGCGCTTTGTTTTCCAGGTTCTAACTGCGGCGGTTCATTACTCGCCGGTGTAGCCGGTTGAAGGTCGCTATCCAGAATTACGTTCCGTCGATGGGTCGCGTTATCTTGGGGCGTCAAATCCGCAACTGAGCTGGCCCCTTCCATCGGGTCGTCTTCTTGTGCCGCACTCACGATGGGATTCACCACATGGATCGTGGACTCCATTCTTTGATACTTTGGGGGTGAATCTTCCCTTTCTGCGCTCGATGACCTTTTACTTGCGCCAGACTCAAAACCCGCATAATACCTGGCTCTTTCCTGCCATCGCTTATCTTGTGGGTCTGGCGTTCGATTCCGGGTATGTTCACGTCTTTTATCCCATGACCTTTCCGGTGTTGACATTCGAACATTGCGGTTGCGGAATCCAACTTCCAACGGCACCTGATGACCTTTCTTTTCAGGCTCTGTACGGTATGTCTCCGCACGCCGTTGCTCTTCGCGTCCTCTTGTCGCGGCCAAAATCTTTGCCGTATCGATTTTCCGCTGAATACTTGTCTCGGTTATCTCGTTTCCATGGCGCACCCATCCTCTTCCGCCACGGTAATCTCTGTCGTGAGAACGTTCGCGTGACCTTTCGCTTCGTCTTTCAGAAGTCCGTTCGTGTTCGCGTGAATGTCCGCGTGACCTTTCTCTCTGCGGAGGCGAACGGGGTCGTGTAAACACGTCATCTCGTCTAAATCCTCTAAGCGCCTGTAGAACATTACTCTCGTTCTGGCGGCATAAGTGAAACAATGTGTGGGTCCCCCAACTTGTGAACGCATGTGTAGCACGGGAACTTCTTGTCGACCTTTCTGTTATTCCGTAAACAGTCCGGACACTTGGAGTTATAGCCCGTAGATCTGTTTATCTCCGATGCCGTTCCTGAACTTTTAGGAGTGGCTTGACCTTTTGTGCCATTTTCTTCGTTTGAAATCTGCAATTAAAACAATCCGTCATAGAAACCTTTCTGTGTAACTCGTTTCCATTCTTATCCATTATCAAGGCTTTTCTATCATTTTTACGCCTATTCCGTTACTGAGCTGAGACTTTCCTAGCTCATGCTGCCCTCTCTGTCACTGTAACGTGGTGACCTTTCTCACGTTATCAGCACTTTCTGACTACTGTGACCTTTTCTATTAGTCTTGTTGTCGCTATTTCTGAGGTTGACCTTTTCGCTCTTATTTCCCGTAAAGCTTTTCTCTTTCGTTTTTAACTATTTTATGCTTTTTCTGTAATATGCAGGGTTCATTGCTCGCTGCATATTACACGCTTCTCATTCACTCAGACTCCTTCGCCGGCGGTTGATATGGTTTGAAGTCAATTCGGCCATCCTGTTTGATATGAAGCACGTCATCTGCAATCAATGCTTCTACGGCATTCTTTATCCATTCTTTATCGTTCTCAATATTCAATTCTCCCAACTCATAATGGACGGCCATGAAATTCGAAAGGTCACCCCATGACGCTCCATTGGTGCCGCCAATGGCGTCCAAAGCCACATCTGTAATGGCTATTTTCCAAGCTTCCAGTTCCATTTTTAGTCTGGGCGTGCGTTCCGTGCCCTGTTTCGGAAGATAGTAGATGACTTTGTTATCTTTGTTATATTTACATCCCAGTCTTCCTTCCTTATATGCCCGTTTCAGGACTCGTTCGGTCATATTTAGTGACGATCTTCCGTTCGAGTTTACCGCGAATTGTCTTTTGAGGTCGGTACCAAGCATTTCTTTTTCTCGAATACTCTGGAGCGCAGCCTGTACTTCGTTCCATGTCCGATTATTCACATCTAACGGCACTCCGAGCAAATAATCTGTCGCCTCTTTGGTTTCCGTTTTCTGGGGGGGGTTTTGCCGAGTCCGTTGCATCGGTCGCCTGTTCATCTATCTTCAATTTTGCCAACGAGCCTGATGATGACTGGGCAGATTTCGGTTCAACCGTTTTCTCTTCCTGTGGTAAAGTCTCATGACCTCCCAGTTCATCCGCCGACTTTGACCGTTCTTTCTCGAAGGCATCCTTCAGTGGTGCGAACAATGATTTCTGATACACTTGTCGCGCGGAGGCTGCTTCTGCTTCTGCCGCTGCCTTGTCCATCGGGAGCATGACCTTTTCTTTCTCCCGTTTTTCTGAAGTCCCATGACCTTTTGGTTGAATTTCTTCCGTCGCAGTTACTGGTGTCTCTTGACCTTTAGGCTTTTCTGTGTCCGGTTCCAGAGGCGTTCCAGAGGCACGGGCAGCAGAGTTGTCGTCGTCACTCTCCTCGGATTCGGAATCCATGGGTCCCTTCTTTTTCGACACTTTCGGTACTTGTGCTTTAACCCGTACGGTTCCTTCCTCAGCTGTTAACTGCGCGATTCGGTTCAATATGGGAGTTGTCGGGTCTCCCCTCGATGGCACCCTTTCCGTCTCCTGACTGTCGGACATATTACAGTGGCCTTGTTTTTCCGGCGGTATTAGGCCCACTCTTGTATATCGGATCGGATATCCTTTATGTGCGTTCGTTGTGGACAGGATATTCTGTTTTATCATCCTTGGCAACGCGCGTTCAGTGGCTGTATCGATTTCCTTTATCAATCCTTTTCCGTCATTCCAAACAGCGTTGATGTATTGGCTGATCCGGTGACTCGTTGACCCCAACGGGCTTGTCATTCCCGCGATTGCCCTTTCTACTCGCATTGCGGTATCTTCGTTTGGAGTCGTCAGCGACTTATCCGAGCTTGACGGTCTGAACAGTTTAGCCTAATACGCGAAATTCGGATGTTTCTGGAGAAGTTTTCCCGCATTCCGAGCGTATTCCAATACCACATCGAACTTCTGTTTGGTAAAACTACGGTGCTTATCCTTCCTCAGATATTTCTTTAAACCCGTTCTGAATTTCGACGTTACTGATGTGGTTCTTATTCGTGTAAAGTTTTTCTCCGCTCCGTTGAACGCATCAATAATTTCGTCAATCGTGGTCATATTATCGCTGTCTGGATCTTCGAATTCCGCTTCATCGCCCGAGTAATCAAGTTCACTGTCACCGTCCGGTTCGATGTAGTTGGCCATTGCCAATGCGTCGATTTTCATGGCCTCTTTTCCTTTCTTTTTCAACTTTGCGGGTTCGCTCTTTGCTTTTTTCCCTCTCTCAAGAGCCTCCGCTAGGCTTCCTGGCTCCGCGGTTCTGGGTCTAATCGTTTTCGGGTCCGTGTGTGACCTCGTACTAACCGTCGAAGTACTTGGAAGGCTCACTTCCGATGCTTCCGATTCACGAGACGTCTCTCGTTTTGCCTTTTCTCGCGTTCCTTTTTCCCTACGCTCTTTCGTAGAAGATGCCGAGATGACGACTGGAACAAGCTGTTTCACAGCTATGACCTTTCCTTTGGATGTTGACGGCTCAGGCTCGGTGACCTTTGATTTTGATGTAGCCGATTCGATAACGAATTTCTTAGGAATGATAGGTACGGATGACCTTTCTTCCGCTTCACCGACTGATTCGTCCAATATCTCGACATCATGGGACGACGGTTCGTCTTTCTTCTTTCTTTCTCCCTTTTTCTTCCGGGCGCTCGTACTCTCGCTTTCATCACCACTCTTTTTCTTCTTATCTTCTTCTTCCTTCCGTTTCTTTAGGAATTCACCTTTCTTGACCTTCTCACGGTTCATGGCCTCTTCTAGTTTAGCCGCTTTCCTCGGTTTAACGACCACTTTTGGAGGCTGTTTATCTTCCTCGGGCTCCTGGGCCCTGTCGTCGTCTTCGTCGGCCTGTTCCTCTGCCGAATCATCGTTAGCTTCCTCCTCTTCTGATTCGTCCAGTTCCGATGGTCTCCGGGTACTCTCCGTTCCTGCCTTTTCGGCTACGGAGGCCTCTGCCATCTCTCCGGCTCCACTTTCTTGTGCCGGGTTTTGGGCCTGAATTTCCAAATGTGGTGTTTCTTTAGCCGGTGCCTGTGTAACGATCTCCCACAGGGGGTTTTCCTTCGCGTCATAAAACACCGTTTTATACGCTCCGTTTTCCGTTTTTCTTGTAAGTCGAAAATGGGCTTCGTCTATCTCCGCTCGATGTCGCATCATGCTGATCAGCGTATTCGCTTGAATCAAAGAGTCTTGACGTTCACTTACTGGTATCAAATTCCACAACTGTTCAAGTGCTGCCCGATTGGCGTGTTCGGCACTCTCTTCTGACGCATCCCATGGAGCGTATGGGATCGGATCTCCCGTTATCGGGTCGACGATTACTGCGGTTATGCAATCCGTTGTTCCATCGCCGAAGTGGAGTGTTAGCGTCATTTTCCTGCTTGTTCCATCGGTGTACTTCAGGGTTGATTCGTAATCGTCTAATGTTCGCCTACTCGGGTCTGGGTCTGCTGTTGGTTTCGGCCGAATTCTCTCTTTCGTCAGCAATTTCCCGTCCACTGTGTATGTATATGCTAAGTGGTCGTCATTTGTGCCCACCTTAATACGGATCCATGCGTTTTCTTCGACCGCAACTTTGGACACCACGTGCTTCATCATCTGAATAAGGACTCTCGGATTATGGCGTTCCTCCGGGGGAATGAACTGTAACGCCTCATGGACTTCTGTCTTTGCCCTTTCTCCAATTTCAGTTTTGAATGACTTGTCCGCTAGGGGATTATATGAATCAATCTCCTTATTCGTTCTTTTATCGACTATCCGAGCGGTGACCTTTCGTTCGTTATGGTCAGTTCCAGTGTATTTAACTGTAAAAGTCCGGCACTTCGGAAGTCGAACTGAAGCAGCTTCAGGATCCGGCGGCGTGGGTGGTGCACTCTTTCTACCCACTGGAATCGGTGCTTTACTCGTCGTGACCTTTTTCGTCCGTTGGTCCTTCTTGTCACTTTCTTTTGGACTTGTCGTCGGTGACCTTACTCTTTTTCCGCTTTTTACGGTCCCGCTAGACGGCTCTGTAACCGAACTGGTACGTCCGCGTACTGATCCTGCGGTTGAACTGGTTCGTGACCTTTCTGCTCGTTCGGTTAATTCTGTCTCAATTTTTCTCTTTGTTTCCAGGAGAGCACTGTCCGACATCTCCTCTACTGGTGCTTCGACTGATGTCCGTGATGGCCCCGCCGCGCTGCTTGCTGAGGGTCCCCTTTCTTTGGGAATCGTCTTAAGGAATATCTGTATCTTCTCGATCATCGGCGGCCATTTTCTGTTGGTTAGAGCCGGATGGTACTGTTTCATCGAAGCGATTCTGATCGCCAACTCTTTACGTTTCACTTCGATGCTTTTAGTCTTTTCCTTCATCGCGATATGGACTGCTTCAATGATCGCGTCCAGACTCATCAACCTTCCATAGAATGCATGTTCGTCCTCGACTCGCATGTGGATTCTATAGAGATCCCGGCACATTCGGTTAAAGTCCCCAATGGCCGCTGTATCAGCAGCTGTCAGTCCTTCTTCGTTGCCCACTATCACGTTCAGTCGCGCATCATCTTCTTTCATGTCCAACGGAAGTTTCGGTGAGTAATCGTGCACCGTTGGTTCACCCGGGGGCGTTGCCCGTAGACCATCTGGTCCGACCTGCTCCAAGTTTGGGCCCAGCGACGGCAGTACGCCTCGCGGTCGTGGTGAGTCGAACCTATTTCCTCCTCGCCTCGCTCCTTTTTGTGGCGAGTTCCTGTGAAGTCTTTGCGCTCCCAGTTGCTGCGGTGTTCTCATACGAGGCGTTCCGATGTCTAACAGTGACAGGCCTCCCGATTCTGGGAAAGGCGGCAATATCGGGGATGACCTTTGCGACTGGGCCGCTAGTATTCCGCCAAATCCTCCATGTCCCAAGTCACAAGTCTGCTCGGTGTAGTCTGTTGCGGTGGCGGCATCAACATTCTTGCCGGTCCCATCATTTGCGGTGGTCCCATCGGTGGGGTATACGATCCCGGATGCGGTGGATAAGGGGCACTCATTATTTGTCCCGCATACTGGGTTCCGGCAGGTAAGCCG